TGCCCCTCGGCTGGCTCACTTTGAAGATGGAGATGAGTCTTCCTTTCATACTTTTACCCCCCCTAATTTTTTCCTTCAAGAGATTATCCCCTATTAGATTCCTGCTCCCTAAAAGGGAGATGGATGTGTGATCAAAGCCTGCCAGTTAGGGGATCATTACTGCTCCCTCCCGCGTGGCTCTATGAGGCCTTGCCTCCTCTGCCTTTGTCAACATCATCTCAGCCCCCAGGCCCACACGTTCCCCTTCAGCGCCCACCAGGGGGAGACAGAGGCTCCCGGGGCTGTGGCAGGGGCCTGCGTGGTTTCCCAGAGAAGTGCCACTCATCACAACTGTGTTGTTTAGTTTGGGATTTTAAAGGATATCTACATGCAGGGTGTGTCCTGAAGAGCATGGCCCGTGCCATGCTGTGCCATTGAAGGACTCTGAGGGTGCACAGGGGCCTTCATCAAATCTCTGCAGTGTCGCAGTTCAGAGGGTGCATGCTTATTCTGTGGGGCCCCAGGGAGCAGGGCAAAAGCAAAGCACGTGGAAGCAGAGGCAAGAAAAAACTGTCTAACAAATCGTCCAAAAGTGAGGCAGGAAGCTTCGTGGGGTGGTGGGCTCTTCGTCCTTGAGGGTGTCCAAGTAACAGATGCCATGGATCAGCTTACCAGCTGCCTAGAAGACCATAGTGGAAGGGAATACAATTAGATGACCTTCAATGTCACGGACACCTTGAGATGCTAGGATCTTTGCCCTCTGAATGCTCAGGAGCCACCTCACTCATTTGTTCATCTGTCCATCCATTCATTCATTCAAAAGGGGTAATTCAAGCACATATGAAGTACAAAGCAAGTATTGGGTTCTGAAGATACAGACATGAATAAGATGATACGCTTTCCCTGGATCAACCCATCACCAAGTTGGAAGACAAGACATTCAAGTCATCAGATGTGAAGGAGTCCATCTAATAATAGAAGAAGTGACTGACTAGCTGGGGGTGCTGTGGGGTGGTGGGAGGATAAGCAGGGAAGGGTTCACAAAAGAGAAGATGCTTCAACTGGGTTTTGAAGAATATATGGGAGCTTACCAGGTAGACTTGGGTGGAAGAGAATTTCAGGCAGAGGGAACAGCATGTGTAAAGCCTCAGAAGTTTCAAATACCTAAAACTGAGGCATTGCATGTAGTTCCTTATCATTGGAATATTGATAGAAGAGCAAGAAATGAGGCTCGAGGGGAATGTGGGGTGAAGTCATTAAGGACCTTATGTTAAAAAGCTTGGAATTTATCCTGAAGGTAATGGCAAGGGGAGTAACTGGGTCCTATTCACATTTTGTAAAGAGCTCTCTGATTACAGAGGAGAATGGATTGCAGGGAACAAAAACAAAGCCAGAGAAACCAGTGAGGAGGCTCATGGGAAAGTATTGCTCCAGGTAAATTCACTGTGTGAAAGAATCATGGCTGCACATTAGAATCACCCAGGGAGCTTTAAATAGTGCTGATGCCTGTGTCCCATCCCAGAGAGTCTGATTTAATTGGTCTGGGGTAGAGTCATGACTTTGGGAGCTTTTAAGCTTCCCCAGATGATTCTAATGTGCAACCATAACAAAACCTTAAGCTCACTGTAACCTGAACCTTGGCACATAGTAGGGTGTCAACAGATTTTTTTTCCCCAAAAACAATTAGTATGAAAACATTTGGAGCATCCTATTCTCTGCTTCACACCACTTTCAGGGGGATATGTTTGGATGCACAGATGACCTTTGTCACCAAGGGTTTCAGGGAGAAAATCCACCCTCAGAATATCAGCTTGAACACGGAGAAATCCAGCGCTACCACTGAGACAAACACACCCCACCCCTGCAGAGAACCAGGAATATTATAGACCTGGCAAGTTGCCTGAAGGAGCTGGAGCTACCTGGCTGAGGTGAGAGGATGAGGCCAGAGGCTGGGGTCTCAGTTCTAAGAGTTACATGCAAAAGCAAGAACCAATTGCAGTCTAACGATGGCTTATGCTGGTGGCAACAGGGATGCAAGGAGATGGTCAATTATAACAAGGAGGAAGAAAAGGAGGAAGAGAAAAAGGAGAGACAAGGCTTCCCTTTATAAAATGAATACGTTCCTAACTCCACAGCACTTTTTCTACCCTCAGATTTAGGACAGAGATTGGTGCCTAGAACCTAGCACCTATTCTGCTTCTCCTACAAGATGCCAGTCTAAGGATTTCTGACACACAAAGAACAAGATTCTGATCAATTAATAGCTGAGAAGGCACTCTATTACCCCAACCTCAGACCCTGGGCAAAACTAAGTTGGAGAACATGGCTTAGCCCAGACAAGGGCTTCCCACCCCATTTCCATTCAATCTGGAGCGGCTAGGTAGCACAATGGGCACCAAACCTACCTACTCAACACTGATAGATAAGGATCGTGGTCATGCTTCTAGAATAAAAGTTGGCAAACTACAGCCACAGACTAAATCCAGCCCAATGCCTGTTTTTGTAAATAAAGTTTTATTGGAACACAGCCGTGCCCATTTGTTTGCGTTTTGTCTGGGACTGCTGCCACTCTGCAACTGTAGAGTTGAGGATGAGTAGCTACGACAGAAACTATGTGGCTTACAAAGCCCAAACTACCTACTATCTGGCCCATTACAGAAAAAGTTTGCCAACCCCTGCCCTAGAAGAAGACCCACCCAGGCTGGCTTAACACTTGGAAGACTGGAAACAAGGAAGGGGGCGTCATGCATGGGCTCAGCTTTAATAGACAGTAGTCCTGCCTGCTTGTAAAACATAGACCGCTGAATGGCTGAATTTCTGACCAGCCAGGTTAGACTCCTCCTTGCTTAGGATGGACCCGGTAAGAAACAGGTGGGCAAAGGCAAGGCTGGTGTATTAAGATGAGTGGAAGCTCGTCTCCCCTGCACTGCTGACAGGGAGCTGAGTAGACTGAAGATGTTGCAAATTCAGTCCCAGGAGCAATGCAGGGGCATGAATGGGGCATTCAGCCTGTTCTACCGAGGCGGGGTGGGGATGGTAATCAAAGCGCGGCCCGACCTTGATGCTTCTGTGGCTTTTCTAGTTATTCCTGCTCCCTTCAATGCCCATCTTCCTTCTCTATGAGATAATGGACTCCACCCTCCACTGTGTTTCCATAACACTTGGCTCGTAACTCTGCTAAATCACTCCACATGCTTGTTTACTTGCCTGTCTCCTCTTAAACTGATGACTTCCATCTCTTCTCTCCCCAAACTCTGACTTAGAACCTGCATGTCCAGCTTCCTACTCAGCATCTCAGTTTGGATGTCAAGTGGTCATCTCAAATGTGGCCGCCGCCGCTGCTGCTGTTCTTATTGTTTTGAACATGTTAAGAAGCACACAGTCCTCAGCAAGTGCGAGGCACTGTTCTAAGCACTTCATGTACCCAAAACACAACACTTAATTCCTGCCTCCCCAATCCTATTTCTCCCCCATCCATTTCTTCTCCATCTCAGTAAACGACCCGACTCTCCATTCAGCACTTCAAGCCAACAGTCTGGGCATCAGCTTTCACCCCTCTCTTTCCTTCATAGTCCACATCTGCAGTAGCCATGTTGGTACCCTGCCCATGTCCCCTCTACACTCACTGTTCCCTTGCATGCCCAACCAATGCCTGCCTCCTGGAGGCACCTATGACTTTTTGCCTGGAGGACTTCCTCCAAAAAGAATGTGACACATTGCCTACAGAGCATGGCAGAAGTGCCGAAGGAGTTCCTAAGAGTCGTCTTCAACCACCGATAGATGGGAATTGCTGGGTAAATACCCCAACCCCCTTCTCCCTCTGGTGAGACAACTCTGAGGCAGGAGTTGGGCCCGTGGGATTAAGCCCCAGGTGCACACAGTGGTAACTTGCCCCTTGATGTACCCTATACTGACTTCCTTCCCTGAATTGTCTCACTTCCCCACTCTCCCACCCATGCTCCTTAGGACTGCTTTCCAAATAAAATCTTATTCTGGAACCCTTGTTTCTGAACCTCTTTCTCGGGGAAACCAAAATCTGCAATATTCAACTGAAAATGATCACTTCTCACTACATCCACTGGCACCATCCTGGTACAGGGGTCCAAGGTACCATCATCTCTTGCCTGGACTATTGGAACAACTGCCTAACTGATCTCCTCGCTTCCTTCCTGGGGTTCCTAGAGCCTGTGTTCTACACATGAGCCAGAATACTTTGTAAAACATAAATCAGATCAACTAACTGCTCTGCTCAAAACCCTCCAATGGTTTCCTATCACACTTAGAACAATATCCAACTCGTTACCCATGACCACAATGCCTTATATAACGTGAACTCTCCCAGCATCTCCAGATGCTCCCAACACTGCTCTCCCCTGTCTCATCCGTGAATATGGCCATTGGGTTACCATCTTTGCACCTGCTATTCCCTCTGCCTGGAAAGCTCTTCCTACTTTTCTTGGCATGACTGGTTTTTCACATCATTAAGGAATTAGCTTAAATGTTAGCTTCTTGGAGAAGCTCTCCCAGACTGTGTAATCTGTAATAATTTTCATCCCTCCTTACTATTCCTTTACACCACTTTCTTTTCTTCATGGCATTTTCCACTATCTAAAATTATGTGTGTTTGCTTGTTCATTTGCTGCATCTCCCAGTTGACTGGAAGCTCAAGGGGGACTTTGTCTTTTTCAGTGTATCCCGAGTACGTATAACAGTGACAAAAACTTATTAGAGACTCAATAAAGTGAGTGAATGGGTACATGAATGGACAAATGACTCCCCTACTGGACCAGATTTGGGCTCGTGACACAGAGAAGACATCAATAGCATTTGATTCAATGAACAAGTGAATAAGTCCATGGAGGGACTGAGTCCACGTTCTCTCCAGGTCCCACCCAAGAACGGACGGCCCTTTATACTAAGTGACTCGTCACAGTGGGTCTCCCTTTCCCCGTTGGCTCATCTACACCTGGATAAAACTCCTATTTCAGACCATTCTAACCATTCCGTCCTTTTTTTTTTAGGCCTTACCGGAGGGGCAGACAGCTTCGTGGGACACAGCCAAAGAGGATGAAAACCGCAATAAGAATCGATACGGGAACATAATATCCTGTAGGTGCCCTGCTGGGAGGGCCCCAGGCTTTGGGGACATAGAGTAAAAGAAGCTATTACTGTTATTTATCTGGAATTTGTTATCGAATAATCCTTGATGTTTCCAGCTTTAGGTCCACATGCCAAGCTGGGAGCTCTCTTTCAGCCTCCCTGTCCTACCTGGCCTAGATGAGAGAGCCTGGCTCATCTCAACCAGAGGGGGCAGGAGGGGAGCTGGGTCCAGGCAGAGTAGATCCAGGGAGCTCTGAAGGCTGGGTCTTGCCTGGCATTGCCCAGTCAAGAATTCCTCAGGTTGGGGAGGAAGCTCAGCCAAAATGATTCTCCTGTGTTCCCAGCAGTTCCTGTAATTCAGAGTACCACCCTGGCAGCAATTTGGGATGAGGAGCAAGATCCAGCCCATGAGGAAGGAGCTGAGAACATCTAGCAAGAAAACAGTGCTACTCTAAGAATGTAGAGTCCCAAGCAAGAATTGATGCTCAGAAGGAGCCAGAAACTCTCACTTATGCCTGAGGGTTTGGGGAGCAGCCAGCTCAGGGCTCAAAAGAACCCAAGACTACTCTGGTCACACAAGAGACAGGGTTTAGGGCATTATGACTTCTGTCAGACCCCACTGCTAATGGGACAGGGGCTCTAAGGTGAGTGTGTGCCACTCCAGGCCTGCATTGGCACAGGCATTTGGTGGCACTGAGCCTGCAGGCAGAAAGCATGTTCTGTGCGGAGCTAGGGGAGGCATGAAAGGACACTGACTTTTGCTCAACAATGAGTTTTAGCATTCCTATAGGCTACCCTTGTGTGTGATTTGATAAAGGCAGTGGTGCAGAGTAGTTAGAACCCTCTGGAATCAAACTGCCTCGGCTTTTATCCCAGCCGTGGGGCACTGAGCAGGTACCTGACCTCGCTAAGCTTCAGTTCCCTCACCTTTAAAATGATGAAAATAATAGAGAATCGCTGGGAAAACGTACATAAAGCCCTTGGCACAGTGCCTGGCACCATTACTCTTAGCCATAGAGTCACTTCCTTAGAGTCACTGATGAGCAGTGTGGATATATCTTTCCACCTTATTTTAACCAGGATTCACTGAATCCCCATGTGGGCACATGGAATAAGCCAGGTTGGGGAGGGGTAGGGCGTGATCAGATGTCTGTTTTGGAAGGATCACTAGGATAGCTGATTGGGAGGGTGGGTTAGATTGGGAGAGGCTGGAGGCAGAAGGACCAGTTAGAAGGCTACTGCAGATATCCCAGCAAGGGATGATGAGGCCTAAACAAAGGCAGTAACAATAGTTGTGTGTGACTCGAACATAGTGTTGATTTCTCAGAGGAGACTGCCATAGAACTGAAGACCATGCACAGGTTACACACAAGTGTTGTCACTGCCAAATATTGGTATGTACAGCCTTCGAAGCAACATAACAGAGAGGGCAGAGTTACCCCATACAAAATGCTAAGCATATATTCTGATTAGCACAGGAGTCTACAACAGCCTTTGTCTGCCACAGTGTAGCCAGCCTGGACCTTTTCACATCTCACCAGTTGGGTGCATAGCATTCCTTGGTCTCAGCTCTCAGGGTACCCCAGTTCAGTGAGAAAAAAAAAAATCCTGAATAACAAATTATTTCTAGCACAGTTCCGTGTTTTGTTTTGTTTTGTTTAACTGTCTAGACATTGCCTAAGAAAAAGCTTGGAGGAAGAAAGCGTAAGCTACAGGCAGCTTGTAAAGGAAGAAAGAGGCAGAAGTTTTAGCTTAGCTGTTTCCTGTGCTGATTTAGGAATGGGCTGTGAATGGTAGAACTAATTAGAAAACATTTGTAATTTGTGTCTTGGAAGATAGTAATGCAGACAGCAGGATTTCTTGTAAGGGAAGTGTTGGAAAGAGATGTTCAATCCATCAGGAAGTGTGTAGTAAGACTTACGATGTGTGTGCCTCCTCTGAGCCAGGCCCTGAGCTGGGCACTGGGACCCTCAGTCTGTGCTCCCAGGGAGCTCCCATTCTAGGCACAGGTGGCTGCTCGCTCTGACCATCCTCTGCTCGAGCACTGTGCATACTGTGCCCTAGAATATCTGCTTTCTTGTCTGTTCCCCCCATCAGACTGTGAGTTCAGGTAGGGTCCACTAAATTATAAGCCACGACATCTTGGGGATCATGCTAAACCTTAGTCTTCTCTCTGTCAAATGAGCATAAATTTGACACTCGCTCTCTATAAGGAGGCATTAGCTCTCAGGGTCTTCCTCCTGGGGTGTTGGGCAGGTAAGAAAAACGAAATGACTAGAGCCCAGTGAAGAGACCCTGCCTCCCTGAGAGATGGGGCTATCCAGGCTGGTACCCAGGCTGGTATCTGGGCCAAAGTCTGCGGGGTCCGATGGTGAGAAGCAAAGCTGTGCATGTATCTGGACCTCCCACCGCTCACCCTCTGCACTCAGCACCCTTGCCTGAGCCAGCATCAGCTCTCACCGGTCCAGCCTCCTTCCTGGTTGCTCCACATCTGATTTTGCTCCCAACTTTCTATCTGTCTGATCTCTGACAGAAGCCAGAGGGACCTCCTCAAAACATGAATTGGACCATGTCATTTTCCTGCTGAAAACCCTCAGACGGCTTCCCTTCACTCAAGCACTCCTTATCCACAGCCCTCAGCTGCCTCTCCAGTCCCGCTTCACATTGTGTCCTCTCCATCACGGTCTCCTCTGTGAAGCCACACTGGCCTTCATTCAGTCCATTGAGTTTTCCATGCTCATCCATGCCACAAGGACTTTGCACATTCTGTTCTATCAAAGTGCCCTTCCCTCCTCTCTTTGCCCTACTAAGTTCTACTTATTCTTCAGATCTTAGTTCAGTCATTACTTCCTCAGAGAATCCTTCTGACTCTTCGAATTTCATCAAAACTCCATTATTCACTGCTAGAGCATGATACATTTCTCATCCTTAGCCCTCGTCATCATTGTGATTGAGAGGCATTTGGACCACTCTCTGTTGACTGCCTGACTCCCTCACTGGACTAGATGCTCTGTGACAGCAGGACCATGACTATCTTGCACTCATGTTTCCCCAAACCTGGCATATGGTTGGTGCTCAGTAAATAAGAACTAAATCTTGGAAAGCACAGACTCAGCAAGAGCCTGAAGAGCTTGAGCAGTGGGTCTTTCCATTCTGGCTTCCCAAATAAAATAGAGAACACCCATAAGGGCTAGATGGAGGAGGCTGGACCAGGACGACACCTGGAACAATGATATTCCAGTAGGGAAAGATGCTGAGCCTGATGAAGAGAGTGTAGAGACGGGACGCAGAGGGAAAGGAAGAAAACAATTCCATCCCTCTGAGAGCTGCATCTGAAAAGGCAGGATGCCAGGCAGCAAGAAAAAACAATAAGGGGGATTAGAACTCCATCATTGGGGGTACAGAAGATGCTGTCAGTGTCCCACCCACACCCACGGCCTCACCACCTTGCTGTGCAGTAACACCATCTGGTAATACCCATATCCAGGGCCAGGACGAGGGGGAGGTGGGCAAGGCACCCAGCATGCAACATTCAAGGATGCCCCAGTCGCAGCTGTTGACCCTGCATTTGCACGACCCTGAGGACGAGTGCCTCGTTAAAGTGTGTGTCCTAGGTGCTCACTTGTTCCGCCTTAGTCCTGCCCTGTCTGCATCTCTTTACCCAGGACTTTCTCCAAAGCTGGCAAGGATGCTCTGTCCTTGCACAAGGCAGTCTCTCCCTGGACCATGAAATAGCCCAGCTCCTTACCCTCCCACTGCGGGGCAGGTGGGGGGGCGGGCAGGTGTTCTAAACCTTTTTCCAGAGTCTCTCTGGGGAGGAGGCTGCAGTTGCCCACAGTCTTACTGCGCTTGAAAACTCACCCCTTCCAGTCTACCTTCTCTTGGCTGTCTTACTCCTCCTGTTTCCTACTGGTATCCCCTTCTCCTCCATATAAACTACTTGCGCTGGAATCCTCCTCTTACATCTAGTTCTGGGGAAACCCAAATGGAGGTCGAGGGAATTCAAACACCTAGTGATATCATCTTGAGGGGCCTCAATAAACCTGAATCTCCTTTCTAATTTAAGGGTTAATAATTCTGCAACAGATCAGGGCTGGAGCAGGTCTGTACTCAGTACTGAAAGGAGACGGTGCTGAGCTAACCAGTGGATTCAAAAGCAGCAGAAGACATAAAGGGGAACCAAGGGAAAAAAAAAAAGTCTTGGAATGGAAATGAGAAAGGTAAAAGAGAAACAGCCCCGAGGAATGAACAGTGTTCCTGCCCTTGTGTGTGTCCCTCCCAAAGGCAAAGTGTGCCGTGCCTCGATAAATAGAAATATTCTTGGCACAAGAAGAACACTGGGTGTGATTAGCATCTTAAGGAACCCAGAGCACTGAGAGGCTGGAGTGGTGGACAAAGGCCCAGGCCAGGAAGAACAGAAAAGATGGAAGGGACGAGAAGGAGGGAGGGCACCGCCTGCAAGAGGAAGAATGAGAGCAAAACCTTGGCTAAATAAGCCCTTTCTTCCAAATGCTTCTGTTTAGAAGTTAGTAATAGGGACTGTGGGGTTTCCAGGGAGTGTACATAGAAAGAAAGGGAAAGGGAAGGAAATCAATGAGGGAAATGTGCAAAGAGTGCTTTGCTTTCAAGTAGCTTTGGGGCAGAAATTGCAGACACAGGAAATTTCAAGAATACCAAAGCGCTCCCCACGTGGAAGTTCTAGAGGGTGCTTCCTGAATTGGCAGGAAGGAAAGGACACTGAGGAGGGGAAGTGATCTCAGGAGTTGCAAGTTTTATAAAATGAGGCTTGCCTTCTGGAATCTGTCAGGGTCCCAGCAGGACACAGATGGGACCCTCAAATAGGGTGATTTGAGGAGAATTTATTCAAGAGATTGCTTATAAAGGTGGGAACTAGGTGTAGAGAGACTACAAGGGATAGTGCAGAACCCTGGGGCTAACTAGCATCCCCACCCACAGAGGATGCAGTGGGAGAGGTTACCAGGATGCGGAGAAAGAGAGAAGACCTGACC